TCTAACTGAATTCAATTGGAAAATGTATGACCCCCCCCAAATGTATGTATAACCTACCAATGAATTCTTGTTGTTCCCCTTTGTTCTGTTAAATATACAATTCAAATAGTCTTGTTATATCAGTAAGTATCAACAAATACCTTTGTATCCTGCCAAAAATCTAGTGAGAGTGTAGTGTCCTGCACTCTCTGCAGTGTTATCTCAAGTAATGTTATCAGTCTTGACCAAGTTAAATATGTGAGCTATAGAACATCTCCCCCTATGTTATGGAGAGAAAGAGAGGTTCTGCCTTAGGGTGACAGCACTGCTCCTCCAGATACATTTCAGTAAGGGAGCATTGCCACCTTAGCATAGCAAGTGTGTGGTAGACCCTGCTGGAATATAAACTTCTCCATCCCCTCCCTCCCAGTCCAACTTCATATTTATTCAATTATTTCTTTCCCAGAAAAAGAATGCTGCCTTGATTTGCAAGAGTCCGATTGCCTACTGTGGAAGCAAGGGCTCAAGGGCTCTTGGAAGATGTAATCCGTGGGCAAGGAAAGTTCCTATGTCAAAAGGAACTTAAAAGAGAACTATGGGGTAAGTGTTTTTCCCCATAGTTCTCTTAAGGGTCACGGGAGAACATATACTAACCTCCTCCTGTGACCCAAAGCTGAGTATATTGCGAGCTATAGCTCGCAGGACACTGAGACCGCCGCAGCCAGGACGGATCCTGACAATGCTGTCGAGATCCACCCAGCGGTGTGAATGACAGCTGGCTCTGCCTTTCTAGGGGCAGCACCAGCTGTACCTGCCCCCTCCCCCGTCCATTCCTCCAGTCAGCACTGGAGGATCGGAGTGGGGAGGGGGGGATCCCTGCAGGGAGCAGTGACTGTCAGTCACCACTCTGTGCAGGGAAACCATTGAGAAGTGAGCGAGCGATGGTATGTGTTCACTCACTTCCCGATCTATTGAGCCGACGTGTGACAGTTTCATTGTCACACGTTGGCTCGAACTATGAGGATGAGTGATTTTCACTCACCTCATAGTTCTCCTTTAACTACTTAAAGAGTGGGGTGTTAAACCCCCTTCCTGTCCAGGCCATTTTTCAATATTCAGTGCTGAGGTACTTTGACTGACATTGATTTACCTATATGTGTGTGCACTTAGGTATGGGAGACATAAAAACATTTTTTGTGTTTTTTTATTTTTTTTTGTTATAGATGACTTTAATTTTTTTAAACTTTTTTTCTACACTTACCTTTATTGCTATCACTTAGGGGGATAACAAGCCCCCTATGTGATAGCAAGTATACACAGGTCCTCTTTATGGAGAAATCAGGGGTCTCTAAGACCCCTAATGTCACCTAAGGACCCCCAAAGAAGCTGATGAAGCAGAGCTATAGCAGCGAGAGAAATGACAGCTAAAGGTGAAGTGATGTAATACACATCACTTCCACCTTTAGAGATCAGAGGAGAGGAGAGATTATCAAGTAGGAGAATGCTGATCTCTGCTCCGCTTACAGTGTGACCAACCACAGTGCTGGTCACAGGCCCGCAGGGGGGACAGCAGAGCCCGGGATAAGTGGCAGTGATCAGCTGTAGAGCTGCCCGAACGCTTGAATGGAACAGCCAGTGATAAAAAAAAGATGTACAGTAATGTCCACCACCTTATAGGAGGTTGCCGTCTGTCCATTTATTTACAACGGGCAGACAGCAAGCAGTTTAAGTGACACTAAATTTAGGAGTTAAATCCTAAAAATGCATCCAAGCACCTTAACTATTAATAATAATGTATCTTATGTGTGTATCACTCGGCTGTAGATCCTCCAATCATCTCTGAATTGGTGCTGACACTGTCCTTCCTTCTGGAGGGGGGCTACGTCTGTTCCCCATGGTCCCTGTGTATGTTGTAAAGTAGTCAACGCTCCAAGCTCGCTCAAATGATGGACTACAAATTAGTAAACTAAACATGAGATTGTAGTGCATCAGGTGAGTGAGCTTGGAGCGGTGACTACTTTACAACACACACCTTTGCTCCCATACCACTCTGTTCACATGTAGGAGCTTGGAGCTCACACAGGGCTAAAGACTCTCTTCCTGACCAAAATGTTTAGTGCCTGAATAGCCAATGACCAAATATCAGTGATGTCCTATGGGAGAAAAAAGAGTGAGTCACCGGAAATCCTATACTTGGAAGTACAGGGTATATCACTTTGCATCCTGGAGCAAATGAAGGGGTGGGAGAGTGAAGCAAAGCTTTGTATGAGCAGCTGGGTGGTGTAGGATTAGGTCAACCATTTGAATAAACAAAACATGTATTTTCTTTAAAGGAGAATTATGAGGCGAGTGAAAATCGACCTGCGACATCCTCCCATGCTGTAGCTCGCGGTATACCGAGCTTTGGGTCACGGGAGGACGCTAGTTTGTGCCCTCCCATTACCCTTAGGAAAACTATGGGGAAAAGTCCTGACCCCATAGTTCTCATAAAAAAAAAACATTGAACAAACATTATAATTTTTTTGTTTTATGATGTTATATAATATCAGCACTCTAGCAGTTTGAGACTCTTGGGCCGAGGTGTAAGATATGAAGTAGACGTGCATTCGGATTCGGACGAACTTGCAAATCAACGAAAGTCAGATGATTTGGCGGTTCGTCCGAATCCGAATAAGGAATTTATTATATGCCCAAATATACGAAACCTATATTCGTGCATACAGAAATTTGTATGCCGAACACACGGTGGCCATGTTCAGCGGTTTCGGATTCTGAAGCCCGTTGCCTCCGAATCCAAAACCGCAAAAAAATTAAGGGTCTATTCATGAAGCTGCCAAAGGATCTGGCCGTAGCTTCGGTCGATCCTTCTAGGGACACTGATCTCCATACAGCTAACTCTCCCTGGCGGCCCAGGAGTCTCCTGCTCCCGGCCGCCAAGGAGAGAAGCACTGCTGTGTCTTTTTTTCTTTATGCGGACACGAGCGATGTCAGAATAGAGAAAAAAAATCAGTGTTCGGCTCACTTCACTTCAGATCGCTCATTCACTCGGCTGCCCTCGGCAGCTTCGTGAATAGACCCCTTAGTTTTCTTTGATAAAACAAATGGAAACGATTTTCGTTTTCATTTGTTTCGTCAGAAATCAAATTTTGTTGCAGTGCACATGTCTAACATGAAGTGTTTGAGTAGGGTGCCATTCTGGAAATAACTCTAATAACTTTACTGTGTAAAATGTAGCAAATAGTGATGAACATCTTGTTGCCTTCTCTCAACTGGAGTTCTAACAAAGCAGCTTCCAAAGAAGGATCATTCACTGAGATATTACATGGACAGGCAAAACTATAATAAGCTAGAAAACATAATGATATACTGTATACTGACTATAATCATGTGAGTCATCAATAATAAGACCAAGCACTTCAATACACTTTAATACACAATTCAACCAGAATGGGTCCCACGCTTACTTTAGAAGAGTGTGTGCATGTTAGGAACACACTTCATTCTGTGCTAAGAGGAACTGAATAGGCAAGGGTGCAAATTAGCCTTTTACAAGTTTATAGAGCATATAGAAGTGTTTGGTGAAAATAATTTTTCATCCACATTAAACATTTACAGGGTTATTCACAAAAGTGTGAAGAGTTTGGAGAAGGCAGGAGAAGTGAACAATCTAGGATAACATAGCTGGACTGGAAAAATTATCTAATTCATCTCACTTTCCAGTTCACTTCTCCGGCCTTCTCCAAACTCTTCACCCTTCTGTGAACAACCCTGCTAGTAATTGTGGATTAGCATGACTTGCAGCAAATCTGTGTTGGAGTGAATTATTTAGTTTATAGCTTATCACAGTTTTCAGAACTTTGAATAAGTTTAATGTATTGATATTTAAATATATTTGAATTGTGACATATGTTTACAATTATTGTGATACTGTATATGTGTATGATAATGGTTTCACCTAGTGTCTAGAATTTTTTTTTCCGAACCATGGTTTTGTGGAACTCTAGTATTCCTCCAGAATAACCTAGGAGTGTCCTTAGCTGTGATCAGTAACTGACCTCCTGCCTGATGGTGACTGCATCGTTTTTGGAACCAACATCACTTAGCAAAGTCAATGGTGTTTGGCCAGTGGAGACTTTTTTCTCATCTCTTAAAGGAGAACTATGGGGTCAGGGCTTTTCCCATAGTTCTCCTAAGGGTAACGGGAGGACACAAACTAGCATCCTCCCCTCACCCAAAACTCAGTATACCGCGAGCTACAGCTCGCGGTATACTGAGACGCCGCAGTCGGGACGGATCCCGACTTTACTGTCGAGATCCACCCAGCTGCGTGATTGACAGCTGGTTCTGCCTATGTAGAGGCAGAGCCAGCTGTACCCACCCGCTCCCCCATCTGTTCCGCCAGTCAGCGCTGGAGGATCGGATCGGGAAGGGGGGGAATCCCTGCAGGGAGCCGTGAGTGACAGTCACGGCTCCTTGCAGGAATAGATTGAGAAGTGAGCGAGCGACGGTATGTGTTCGCTTACTTCCTGATCTATTGATCCGACCTGTGACAGTTTCATTGTCACATGTCGGCTAGAAGTATGAGGCCGAGTGATTTTCACTCGCCTCATAGTTCTCCTTTAACTAAGTAACCACTAAAACTATCTTTTATCAGCTGTCTTTGAAGGGGCCCTTCTCCACTTTGACCAAACCTAGGGAGACTCCTCTCCCAATTGACCACCAACCTAAGAAGATACAATTGTCATTGTCTGTATTTTTATTTCTGGACACTATAATTAGCTTTTTTTTCCCATGATTTTCTAAAAATACATTTGGCTTAAGGAGCAGGAGGGTGTTAGAAAAATGTGGTGTCAAATACACTAAATAAATGACATTCTTTAATTTATTATTATATCTACAACATATCAGTCATGTTAATGTACAGCAAGCTGTAGATATAATAACTTTTAAGTTGGGGTTCCCTGAGAGCTGAGAATTATTTCAAGGGTTCCTCCATGCTAAAAAGTTTGAAAAATGCTGCTCTAGAAAATTTTCTTTTTGAGGTTACCTACTACTCTAGTGGCATCCCGTATGTCTTTGTTCCTTAAGCTATACACCAGAGGATTTAACATAGGAACCACAATAAGAAAAAGTATTGAAAGCAACTTGTCTTCCCCTACCCCATGTCCAAATTCTGACTTTATGTATAGAAAGATGCTCGGGCCACCAAATAAGATAACAGTAAAAAGGTGGGAGGTGCAGCTGGAAAATGCTTTAAGACGCCCATGTCTGGAGCGGATCTTCAAAACATTCAATATAATAAAAATGTAGGAGATTATGATAAGCAAAAATGGCACAAAGCCAACTAAAACATCTTCAACAGCTATTAGAAGCTTCCTGCTTTTGATGTTACTGGATGAAATTGAGAGCACTGAGTTGAGCTCACAGAAGAAATTGTTGATGTCACGAGAAATGCAAAATAATAATAGAGAGGTGAGTATGGCGTGCATCACTGAATTCAGAATTCCAATAAGCCAGGATATAGCAGCCATTGTGATGCATAGAGCCTTGCTCATGATTAAGTAATACTGCAGCGGCTTACAGATTGCCACGTAACGGTCATATGCCATCGATGTCAGGATGAAGATCACGCTAAGTCCACATTGCACAAATAAATACAGCTGAGTTATACAACCTTGGAAGGAGATCTTGTGATTTTGTGTTAGGGTGATGAAAAGTAATTTTGGGGTGAATGAAGAGGTGGATATCACATCTAAAAAGGAGAGATTACAAAGAAAGAAATACATTGGGGTGTGCAATTTGGTTACTGCGCATACAAGTGTAATAATGGTGACATTTCCAAGTATGGTCAACAGATACATCAACAGAATGACAATGAAGAGTGAAAGTTGGCCAGCCGGAGAGGCTGAGAATGCTACAATGTGGAATTCATCTGGTGTGCTTTGGTTTGGACATCCAATCATTCTGAAAAAAAAAATCATATTGTAATGTTATGGAATGTAACTATATCAGAACTGACAAGAGCTAGGTAGGCAATCAAGACACCAGTTATGATTGTGTATAGGCAAGCATTGTAAGTTTGCCATCTTACAGGCTTACAGTTAGTATTATATCTGCATGCAGGGTCAGAGAGCGCCACATCTGTGTGTAAAATCGTTTATTCAGATAAACAAAACAAGGGATAAATGTACTCACAAGCAAACGGTTTCATCACGCTTTAACAACAAACAAGAGGCCACACTGTCTCGCCCCGACTATGTACCACGGCTGCCTCCGGTCACATCACCAGCCGTAGTCAGCCATGATTGACGTGTTTCAGGGGCAAGCCCCCTTCATCAGAATCATCTGAGCATCTGATCCCTTTTGTTTTCTATGTGCATGGTGGAAGCCCCAGAGCCTCGGATGAGCAGCCACTCAAGTATGTGTGAAAAACTGTTGAAAACTTTGAGTATTCAACAGCAAGTGGATCCTTCAGCTGGCAGACATTAGCGCCAAGAGTTAAAGAAAACGTTTTGCTATAATAGGGCAGCCTGGGGTATTTGCCTGAGTCAAGATCTCATTGAGTCAGAGCTCTTAGCAGCCTGCGATGCTGGCCAGTGTCCCACCCAGCTCACGGACATCACTGGTTACCAGGAGCTAAGTGGAACTCTCTGGTGTCCCTCCCAGATCATGGCAACCAGTGATGTCAGTGAGCAGGGTGGGATGGCAGGCAATGTCAGAGACAGAGGTATCGTCAGCAACTCCCCACAACCACCACAACAGCACCCCTGCCCCCCAAACTTTCATCACCACCATCCCCCGGTAACATTTATCACCATCACCACCACTAGGGATGTCCAGATACCAAGAATAGTACTTGGTACAAGTAGGGGTACTGATAATGTTCCAGCTCCAAGACTAGACCAAGTACAAACCAAACCAAGTACTGATACTTGCCCAAGTACTCACAGATACCAATTACTGATACATTTGTTCATTTTCATTTGACAGTCTTCTTAAAACACTACAAACTATTGATTTTAGGGACAGTGGTGGAGCGCCATGGCCCAGTCACAGCTGCAAACGCTGCAACCCTGATAGTTTGCGTGAAAATGCCAAATATCGGCACTGGTATCTGAACATCCCTAACCGCCACCCCAGGTGATTATAAGTCTAGGGATGCCCCTGTCTGCATGTCAGGTTAAAGTAGAACCTCAGTCCCCCCCAAAAAACAAGATTAAATGATTAGCTTATTAAAAGATGAAATAAAAAAAAAAAAATCAGCTTTTGCTGCAATGTTTATTAGGAATCCAAAGATTTCCCTCCCTAGGACATTTTTCTGCCACCAAGCGGCCATGCTCAGTATCATTCAATCCACTTCCTCTGAGCCCAGGTTGCCCCGGACCTGCCCTCAGCATGTGACTGTACAGGGAAAAAAAAAGAGAAACACCACAGTGATGAGCTCACCTCTGTGTCAATCTGCTTTCATCTCCTATCTTCATGCTTCTTGTCAGCACATGAATGGACTGGCTCGGTGTGCTTGTTTTCCCTTTCTGAGTCTTGCTGTACCATGAGAGGCTGATACTGGGTCAAATTCCGGTGCTTGCACTGCTTGCATTGAAAAAAAATATAATGAATACAGAGATGCAATAATCCGTCTATTATTTCTATCTGCCTGGAGTTCACCTTTAGTATGCACCTTCGCATTCAGAGATTGCAATATGGAAGAATGGTTTTAGAGTGTGAGAAGAACAAATTGTTGCATTCACTTGGATCAATTCAAATATTTTTGAAACAATTTTTGCCACTTATTAATATATTTGACCATATGACTATATTTGACACTTAAAGGAGATCTATGGAGTCAGTGTTTTTCCCCATAGTTCTCCTAAGGGTCAGGGGAGGACAAACTAGCATCCTCCCGTGACCCAAAGCTCAGTATACCGCGAGCTACACCTTGCGGTATACTGAGACGCCGCAGCCGGGACGTATACCGACATTACTGTCGAGATCCACCCAGCTGCGTGATTGACAGCTTGCTCTGCCTATATAGAGGCTCTACCCGCCCCCTCCCCCGACCGTTCTGCCAGTCAGCGCTGGAGGATCGGAGCGGGGAGGGGGAAACCCCTGCAGGGAGCCGTGAGTGACAGTCAGGGCTCTCTGAAGGGACATGATCGAGAAGTGAGTGAGCGACGGTATGCGTTCGCTCACTTCCCGATCTATTGAGCCGACGTGTGACAGTGTAATTGTCACATGTCAGCTTGAACTATGAGGTTGAGTGAAAAATCACTCACCTCATAGTTTACCTTTGAAGCTGATTTCCGGCCTTCCCTTCAGTCTTGCAGTTATACCGCCTCCTCCCCTGTACTGAAATTGCTTCCTCTGATTTCTCCACATTCTGTTAGCTTCATACAGTATTAGAAGCTGAAGCAAATTAATACAAAGCCCACCCCATTTCCTTCCTGGAGGACGTCAAGTGTCATCTAGCCTTTTTCCTCTACAGCCTGACTGACCCTGGTCCACCCCTTTCATTCATTGGATTTTAGTTCTTTCAGTCATGAAAGGGAAGGGAAGCAAAGGAAGGAAAGCATAATATAAGCAGACTAAACTTAAAGGAGAACTATGGGGTCAGTGCTTTTCCCCATAGTTCTCCTTGGGGTAATGGGAGGACACAAACTAGCGTCCTCCAGTTACCCTAAGCTCAGTATACCGCGAGCTACAGCTCATTATATACTGAGACGCCGCACCTGGGCCGGATCCCGACTTAGATGACGGGATCCGCCCAGCTGCGTGAGTGACAGCTGGCTCTGCCTATCTAGAGGCAGAGCCAGCTGTACCCGCCCCCTCCTCCGTCCGTTCCGCCAGTCAGCGCTGGCAGATCGGAGCGGGGAGAGGGGAATCCAGCCCCTCCACTGTCACAGCAGAGAGCCGTGACAGGATCGAGAGGTGAGGGAACCCGGTATGTGTTCTCTCACCTCCCGATCTACTGAGCCGACCTGTGACAGTCTCATTGTCACAGGTCGGGTAGAACTATGAGGTGAGTGGAAATCACTCATGTCATAGTTCTCCTTTAAAGTGACACTAAACTCAGGAGTTAAACCTTAAAAATACATACGAGTCCCTTAACTATGAACACCAATGTATCTTATTTGTGTATAACTCGGCTGTAGATCCTCCAATCATCTCTGAATTGGTGCTGACACTGTCCTTCCTTCTGGAGTTGGGCTACTTTTGTTCCCCATGGTCCCTGTGTGTGTTGTAAAGTAGTCACCACTCCAAGCTCACTCCTGGGATGGACTACAATTATATTAAGATTGTAGCTGGGCCCACAAATAAGATATACAGATACATTGAGGGGAATTTATCAGAACTGGAGCAGACAAAATTTAGAGCAACTGTGCATGGCAACCAATCAGCTTCTCTCTTCAGTTTGTTCTGTTAAGATTTAACAATGAAAGAGAGACGCTGATTGGTTGTGATGCACAGCTGCTCCAGATTTTGTCTTCTCCAGTTTTGATATCATTCCTCTCATTGTTGATCAGAGTGAAGGTGCCCATACACCTTACAACTATAGCACGAGTTTCATTGTGCGATGGTTGTAGGATGATAAAAATTTTGTATGACCTGGCCATCTTGGACAGGCAGATCGTACTTGCGATCATCGCAAGCCCTCCCCGCTGAGGTGAGGGCTTGCCAATGACTGCAATGCTGAGTGGGCAGTGCGCTTGCGCACACCGGCCCGTGCGTCTATCTTCTTATGACCGTACGATTTCGGGCGGGTTTTCTAGCGTGCTCGTAAGACGAAAGTCGTGCGACCGTACACTAAATGCGGTCGCACACTGCCCATATACCTGCCGATTACCGTACGATAAATCGTCAGGTGTATGGGCACCTTTAAGGAACTTGAATGTATTTTTAAGGTTTAACTCCTGAGTTCAGTGTCACTTCAAAGTGACATTAAACCCTCAGATGTTTTAACATAAACCAATACTGTAATGTGCGCCTTACTGTAATCCGTGGTTGTTTCCCTTCTCTTTGCTGCTCTTCCTTTTAAATCCTCATGTCTTCTCATGCTTGGGGAGAACTTCCTGTTGCAGCTGTACCTGTAATAATACTTATTTTTATAAATATATATATTAAAAAAAGAATACATCAATTATTAGAGGCATTTTTAAAGTGCCAACAGTTTTCCCAATGCTTTACATACTGTACATTCACATCAGTCCATGCCCTCAAGGAGATTGCAACCTACAGTCCCCATCTCACATACATACATACATACTAGGACCACTGTGAATAGCATGTGTTTGGGGTGTGAGAGAAGGAAACCAGAGAACTTGGAGGAAACCTACACATAACCATGTTATAAGTTAGGACACAAAAAAAAAAATATATATCATTATTTTACTGTGTTTTGATTTTTTTTTCACTAGATTAAAAGTTTCACACCCTGAAAAGGAATTTTATAGGAATGTTAGTGTCAATAGTGTAGGATTAAATGTAAACCCTAATATAGTTCAAAATCTTGCGATTCACAAAATATACTTAAAGTGACATTAAACCCTCTCCCCAGCATGAGAAGACATGAGGATTTAAAAAGGAAGAGCAGCAAAGAGAAGGGAAACTACCATGGATTACAGTAAGGCGCACATTACAGTATTGGTTTATGTTAAAAAATCTGAGTGTTTAATGTCACTTTAATAGAGATCAATATGTTATCTATCCTCATATGACAAATTGTACTGCATTAAAAAACAGCTGGTTTTTACAATTAAATTTTTAAAGTTGCATTTGCTTTTTTTAAAAATACAAAAATCAGGTCCAAAGTAAAGGTTGTTTTATTTGTTAAAATTTCCCTAAACCCAGTTTGGTCTTACAAGTCAACACAGGCTAGGGGGAGGAGGGGGGGGGGGATAAAGCCCAAAAAATAAATCAGCCCTTTTACATTAATTTTCAGACAGACATGAAAAATGACATAACATCT